CTTTATTTTAATATTTTAGTATTTAAAAAAATATTTTTTTATGTAAATTATTTGAATATTCGTAAAACAATTGAGTTTCATGAATTTATTTGAATAAATATATTTTGAAATACTGAAAATATAAATAAGATTTTTTTATTTCGAATTTATAAAGTATTAACGTTGGAAATAATATATATACATGTGGTAATTATTAAATGATTGTGTAAATGTAAAATAGGAAAAAACTTAAAAACATCCATAAATAAAAATGCCACCTAATCAATTGAAGAATCCACCTAATCAATTAAACTCCAACTAAGCAATTTTAACAAATGACATCATCATTTGCCACATGTCAATCATTGAGGGCATAGATTCTCTTTTTATATTATATATAGATTATAGTTTATGAATTCACTTTTTTTTTTAAGTTTATTAATTCATTTTTATACTATTTATTATTAATTATTGAAATTATACAGAGAATTCGAACAAATCCATTTAAAATTGTACGAAATGAAATGAAATGATTAATTTGTTTACTAGTGATGATGTAGATGAACTAGCTAGCTCACTATATGCTACATGATATTTTATTTCAAGAAATTAATTTAAATCTGACAAAAGAAATTGTCGTCTTTGGTAAAGATATAATGGTGGGCTCACATTCTCCAAGTTGAATATCTTACATTATGGGCCGAGCCCTTTTGTTTTTGTCAATTCATTGACAAATACCAACTATTAAATATATTATTTATTTATTTATATATTAATTGGTCAATCTCAACTTCAAAAACAAAATAAAGTTATAGAATAATCAAGAGAGGTTGAAAGGGACTTATCAAGCATAATTCGAAAAGTAAAAGCACCCCTTATCAATTGGTTTATTTTTCTTCTTCCTTTTTCTTTTCTTCTTCTTATTCTATTTTGCAACTAATGAACAAAATCCCTAAATTGACCGATTTGACTTAATTGTCGTTATCAAACGCGGTTTTGTAGAATTTACACCGGTTGAAATACAACATATGGTTTTAACCTGTCGATCTGCACATAATAACGCACACAATTATATGTACGTGTGCTCAGTGAATAGTTATTTATATACAATTTGAATTCACATGGTCTATTTCACAAGGTGTAGAATCTCATAAGCCATCAAATCGTTGAAGACGTGAATTTAGGGTTCTAATAATTAGTTTCCGTACTATAGTCCAAGAAAAAAATGTGTGCAAGTTGGAGTTCATTTTATCTCCATTTGCTTGTTTTTTGAAAAATGTGTGTTGGACAAATTTACTTTGAATGAATGTGACATCGTCTGTGTATCTAGTGTTTGTATGTACCTATCAATTTGTACTATAACGACTTCTTACTATTTATTTCCGTATCTTTTAGAAACATTTTGTTTGCCTCATTATGAAATTTGTTTTTATTTTTTTGGCGTGGGACCGGCAACCATGTTTGCATATATATAAATTACACAATATGCGACGAACTTGATATAAAACATATTGAGAAGAACTCGTAAAAATTTTATATCAGCGTGCTTGTATTTGGGGGATGTGTTGTTTTTATTTAATAAAAGAACTTAAATTCCGAAACATGAAGGATAAAGCTATAGCTACTACATTGAAAGACAAAAGCACCATTGTTTTCTTTAAATGTATTAATTACCTCCCGAGGAAACGTTGTGTGCCGGCGTGACTCGTTAGGATGATTAAAAAATCGTTGAGCGCATTTTACCGAATGTAGCATCTGACAGAGTTAATTGATAGCTATATAACCTATGATACAAAAATGAATGTATTACAACAAGGGTGACACCATAAGTTACAAACCATTATTGAGCCCCAAAAGAACCGAGTCAATTCATTTTAGGCCCAATCCAAGCTCCACTTGTATAACACCAAGCAACCCACAAATTGTATGGGCCTAATGCTTTTTCATTTCGAATTTTAATTTCATTTTTTTCTAAATCTTTTTGAATCATAATTTGAAAAATTATATCAGATTGCAAGATCTAATCTAGTTTTAGATCCAAAATAATTTTAAAAATTCATAATAAAAAAAAACTCAAAAATAATATTTATAATATCAATTGGGACAAATTTATTCCAAATCGTGTACGAATAATAAAATATAAAGACAAACCCCAAATTTCCACCTCTAATATCTGCACAATTCAAGAATTAATAATATAAAAAAATACATAAAAGAAATTTAAAAAAATAAGGGTAAATTACAAACACCCCCCTGAGGTACGGTCAAATTACAAAAACACCCCTCTTGTTTGGATAATTACAACCACCCCTCAGCTCTTCAAATTTAGTGGAATCTTCGAGATTATATTAAATATTATCACTTTTGTACCCGTTTTATACCATTCAAACTATACATTATGAAGTAAGATGATCATAATATGTGATTTTTAGCTTGTGTATAATCAGTTTGTAGTGCATCGGAAACTGTATTTTTACACAAAATGAATACAGACTAGAGCACATTACACGAAATCTAGATGATTATATTGAATTTGGCACAATAAGGGTGGAGGCGTAAGAAAAAATCATAGTTGAGGGGGTATATGTAATTATCCAAACAAGAGAGGGCTTTTTGTAATTTAACCATACCTCAGGGGGGTTTTTGTAATTTACCCAAAAAATAATAATCCGAGAACCAACACGATTCCGGATCCCCACAAGTTGTCCAATCGAGGAGCCCCACTCGTATCCCTCTCACCAATCGGAGTCAAAGTCTGACCCGACCCGTTATAATTCTGGTTCGACCCGTAAAGTTCTTGGATACCCATAATATCATCATTCGCCAGCTCAACTTTCCGGGTACTTGAAGAAATAGTCGGGTACATAATCGCCTCCTCAACCGAACTATGACCCAACCCGAGTAAATGCCCGATTTCATGAACCGCAACCGACTCCAGATCCACCGCCGCCACCGACGCCGCCGCACCGAGAAAGTTGCCGTCGATCACCCAGTTCTCGTCGCCGTCCAGGTGGAACCTCCCAGCCGGCGGCGCAAACGCGTGCGCCAGCGTCCCCATCACGCCGTCGAACGGCTCGCCGTCGCCGTGGTCGCCGCCGAAGAACGCGATCTTCAGATCCGCATCGTAGAACGACGCCGTCTCGACGAACGTAAACGCCGTCACCTCCGACCACCGCTCGAACGCGCGGGAGAACACGCCCTTCACGGCGTCGGAGAGCTGGTTCTCCGGCAGGAACGCGTAGGTCAGCTGAGTCGTGCCCGGCGGCCACCGCGGCCGGTCGGGGAAGAAGGAGTAGTGCGCGACGGTGTGGATCGTGGAGTTTGCACTGTAGGTGTTCGGCGATTTGCCTGAACGCATAATGGAGGTGCCGTTGACAATGTCGGCGTTGCCGCATCGCGGCAACACGATGTGGTTCAGCGTTGGCGCGTCGAGTTGGCCGGTGACGTTGAGGTTGAAGTTGAGCTGGTAGCTTTTGACAGCGGATTCGAGGTATTCGTCGAAATCGTCGGAGAAATTGGTGTAAGAGTTGTTGAGGTAGCCGAAAAACTGGAAGTATTTCTTGAGTTTGGGCAATCCTTGAGATTTGACGCCTTTATGGCAGCCGGTGAGATTGTGGAAAGATTCCCAAATTGTAGTGTTTGGGATTAATGAATGTGGGATTGATGTAATGTTTGGGAAGAAATTAGCAGAAACTGGACTGTTATTGAAATTAATGGAAATTACGAGAAATAACACTAACTTCACTGGAGCTACTGTACAGAATGCAAGTTTCATTTTGTGTGTCTGTGTTTTTAGAGAGAGATAAGAGAAGAGAGACTGGGTTTTAATTAGTATTATTAATGATGAATTATTTGGTCATAAATCACGACTGAATCACTTCTTAATGTATACTGTATAGTATGATTAATATACATATAGATAGATCTGACAGCCATTTTTATATATGTTGAATTTCGGAGCAAGTTCAAAATGAATATTTTATTTGAATATTTCTTATTATTATATGTAGTTTAATTATTGCAGAATCTCGTTGATCCGCCCAAAACCACCCTTGAAAGATTAACTGTATAATTTGAAGGGTCCAGGATTTAACTTGTACCACCGACCTGTTATCCTACACAAAAGAGAGCCGGACTTACGTCGGAGTTAACACTCCGACGGTCAAGTCAGTGATTGCTTATGGTGGTTTTTGTGGAGGATATAATGTAAGTTTTTTGGGTCTCTTTCTTCCATTTTCCTGTCGAATGCAGGTGGGTATTTATAACGCTCTAACCTGGATTCTTTCGGGAAAACCGAGCACGCCATCGGGACTGTCTTCCCACCTTCTCCGGGCGGCGTTAGACATCATTCCCCTCGGGAGGGCTATGGCAGCCTCCTTCCCGGCTTTACGGGCTAGCCTGGCCGAAAGACTTTTCATCAGCGGCGGACCTTTTAGTCATTCGAACGTTAAATGCAAATGTCAGGGCAGTTAATGCGCCGATGTAGGCATAAAGAATGGCTGTCAGTCGTCATTAATGCAGTCTCTTCTGCCGCCGCTAAAAAGGTCTTAGAGGGGACCCACGAGCCCCTCGGGTATTAGTCTCCTCGTAAGATTGATGCTCTCGAGGAGGGTTTGGGCCTCGGCCCTATCTTCATTGGGCCTAATTCGGAACGGCTTACATAGCATCTTATTTTGATTTGGGCTGGCTGAGGCCCTATTAATTTTGGGCCGATTTCTTTTCCGGATCACTCATGAAGTTAATACATTAATTAATGTTTATGTTGTTTCACTTGTGATGGACAAATAACTATTGCGGCAAACAGAGTTAATGAAATGAAATACAATTAAACCTCTATAAATTAATACTGTTGGAACCATCAAAATTTTATTAATTTAGCGAAATATTAACTTATCGATAAATTAATAATTATTAATTTATACATTAATTAATAACTTATTAATTTATGAAATTACTTTTATTATTATTTTCAATAAATACATTTTTTTTTAAAATATTTTTACTTGTATATTATTTATTGTATCATTAGTTCAATGCACTATAGAGCCCGTTTCACAAACAGAAACTCTTAAAGCAGCAATTGTATAGAACGATTTTATATTGAGTTATGAAAAAACTATACCGAGAGTTCTAACTATGTTTAGAAAAGTGAGGGACGAGATTGATGGTAATGTGAACTTCAACAAGAAACAAGCGACAATTAAATTATACTGTATTAAGCCTTCATAGATCTATAAAATATGTACCGAACCATGTAATTTAAGAATTATTTTAATGCATTATTAATTTATATAATATATGGGGCTTCTTAAAATTTTCGAATGTGTATTATCTTATAAATTTAGCGAATTATTAATTTAGCACGTTGTCCCCGAGTCGGGACCGAGAAAATTTATTATTTAAGCGAGGTTATTAATTTATCGGGTATTAATTTATCCAGGTTCTACTGTAGTACCAAACCATAAGGGGAAAAAAAAGAAAGAAAAAAGTCAATATATTCATCTGTCGTTAATATGATGTGTCGGTGAGCAGTGCAGTGACGTCACATCATATGTGAGTTTAAGAAGCTTGAATTATGGTGCAATTACTAATCTAGATTCTCGAACAATCAAATTTTTTTTAGGAAAATAAATGTGCCTAAGATTGGAAGAAGAAAAAATTAGGGTGATATGGGCTACTTCGCCCATCTTAAATCACCTTGGAGAATTGACTTCGAAGTAAGCAAATAGAGATATAACAGTTTGCACCTCGTTATACGAGTACTCGAGGGGAGTATACCGATCAATGTGGAACTCTATCGCAGACAAGTGATCCCCTCTCCTTTCTTTCTGTTGGCGATCCAACACGGCCGTTGAAACCGCTTTACACGCTCTCCAATCATGTGATGTAATGGTCAACCTTTGGAGATCCTCCCCGTTCGATATTGTACTAAATGCCGAGACTTCTTTGTTTTGGAATTGGTTCGAATTTTTCAAAATTAACCTGTCTACAGATAAGTTTTTCCTTGCGCGTAGACAGTGATATGGAATAAGGTGGTGCATGGTGAACGTGAGATCCCGTTGGCCAGTGACCACTGCTGCTTGATGAGAGTAGTACATTCCCTATAAAAAAACAAAAGAATTTACAAAGATGCACTAATTTAACAATGAATTATCTTATATTGGTAATTGTTTAATGAACCAATTCGTCAAAATTTTTGAGTTAAATTCCAAAGGAAAACAGACATCGTACATCGAACTTTTGACTATGACAATAATATTCTCTACACAATCCTTAGAATTTCAGCCATTCTCCGTTGAAATATTCTACAATGTCACTACATGTCTAGATCTATCTAGAATCATCACACATTTGAAATGTTTCTTTTTTAATTTGGAAGATTCTATAATTCTTAGAAAGAGCTAATCGCAATATTTTTTTTCTTTATTAAAATTAATAAAATCCCAAAAAAAATAAAAATCCAACGGAATCATGGAAAAAGTTTGGTCCAATTTTGCTTCTATTTGCGTGACGCGTATGTATGAAATATCAATTGCACTAAAAAAAAAAAGGGTCAATAAAATAATCAGCGTACAACTTTATTGAACGTGTTATTTATATATACGGTATACATTACAATTTACAGGTTACTTGATAACAATTTATAATATTTAATTAATATTTGTAATCCATAGCGCAGTTCCACGAAGACACATTGGTCAACAACCGCCACCGAAACACGCGCGCACGCTTTCTTCCTTCTGGAACTAATTGGCGCCACCCATCGCCTAGTATAAAAACGTCAATTCCCGATTCATTTCTCTATTCTCAAAAACCCTCTCTCTCTCTCTAACTCTCTCTCTCTCTTCATTCTTGATTAGTAGTCGTTGATAATTATGACATCATCAAGCAGCTCATACGAGACCTCATGGGCGGACCAATGGGATCCTCAGCCCCTATACAGCAACCCCACCACCACCACCGACAATTCCGGAAAGCTTTCCGGCAAGACCAAGGCGGCGGCATCCACGGGTGTCAAGAAGGTCAAGGCGGGAGCCACCGCCGGAATCCACTGGATCAAACATAAGTACCAAAAGACTACACAAAAGCACTGATGATGATATATATCATCTGTATCATATACTTGAATCATAATATAATTATCTAGGGCTTCTTGTATGTACAACTAAATATGGACTCGATATACTCCATTTTATTTTCTTTAATTTTTTTATTTATATTATTTTTTAATTTATTTTTTATATTCGTGTAATTATATTGATTTCTTGATTTGAATTTCTAATTGTTTCGCGATAAAATCATTGATACCCATATCGAAAAATGTGTAATTTACAATATGAAATAAAGTAAAAAAATAATAAATTTACACTTTGAAATTTTATTTTTATTTTTATTTTGTAAAAACTCGACATTATACAGTAGAACTTCGATAAATTAATAATCTCGCTTAAATAATAGTTTCTCCCGGTCCTGACTCGGTGAAAATATGTTATATTAGTAACTCGATAATTTAATAATTCGTTAATTTAATAGAATTTTCTTAGTCTCGGCTGTATTAATTTATAGAGGTTCGCAATATATACTAAAGTTGGAAGCTATAATGGGCCTCCTGAAGAGTAGTTATGGGCCTCGATTTCATAAAAGAAATAATAGAACTTTTTGAGGTGGTAAAAATATATTAAATTATTAACTCGATAATTTAATAATTCGCTAAATTAATAGAATTTCGCTAATCCCGACTCTATTAATTTATAAAGTTTCAACTATATATTCTAAAGTTGGAAGCAATAATGGGCCTCCTGTGAGTAATTATGGGCCTCGATTTCTTAAAAATCGGCCCATTTTGGATTGGGTCAAATCAACCCATATAAACTTTTGAATTTCCTTTTTGTTTTTAATAACCTATATATATAATTGTAAACAATTTTTTTCATTATGCATCCTTTTTTTTAATTGATTTTTTTTCTTCACATGGACTCGAAATTCATCGAGTAAACTCCGCTCTCGTGAAATAGCTTGTAAACTGCACAATTGATGTAAAATCTATTAGGCCAACAAAAGGTGTAATTGCTATATTCTTACTTTCAACTATTCCAATTCATTGTAATAAACATGTTTCTTATAAGCAAATTGATATATACTCCCTCCGTTTCTCATTAAGTGTTGTTTTTGGCTTTGCACAAGGATTAAGAAGTTTAATAAACGTGTCTTGATTTTAGGTAAAATATATTAGAAAGACTAAAATAACCTTTGTTATTTAATGATGAGAGTTAATACTTATAGTTGTATTAATAAGATTAAAACATGAAAAAATTTATTTAATGCAGTATTGGAAATCTAAAGTGACAGATAATATGGAACAAAAATATTTAAAAAAAAAAAGACAATTATTGTGGAACCGATGGAGTAATAAATAAAACGAAAAAAGGGGTCTACAACAAATGTACATCCAATTAAAGAATTTATATATTAATTTCAAAAATTAAAAAAAATGATAGTTTATAATAAAACCATACGCCTAATACACGGAGAAGGCACGTAGTTTTCTAGTCCAGATACACACACACATCACGTAGTTGAGGTGGGCACGGACAATAAATAATACTTAACTATTAAATACTACTTGATTCCCCCAACCACTCTAAACTCTCCCTATAAATACAAAGTTTTTTTATTTATATCCCAAATTCCCAATAATAAAACAAAAAAGTCAAAAACTCAAAAACCTAATCGGAAGAAACTACCAATGGCGTCCAACGACAATCCATGGGGAGGAAGCGCCGGCGCCGATTATCCTAAAAAATCCGGCGGATCCGGATCGAACGTCAGCGAGAAGTTCGGTCGGACAAAGGAGGTGGCTGCCGCCGGCGTCGACAAAACGAAGGTTGTGGCTTCTGCGGGGTTCGAGAAAACCAAGGTCGCCGCGAAGACGGTCAAAGACGGCGCCTCCGCCGGCGTCAACTGGCTCAAACTCAAATACAACAAGAGCAAGATCTTCCAGAAGAAGTAAATCGGAATTGAAAATAAAAAAGTCAGATTATTGTGAAAATATAATTTTGTTAATTGTTGTTTAAGATTGATTAGACCTATTATTTATTAGCTGTTGCTTAATATTTTTTCATAATCTTTTGTACTATTTTGCAATTTTTAAATCCTCTTCCCTTATTTTTTTTTTTTTGCCAGAGTTTTTTCGGTGATCAATTTGACATTATTTTATATCTACTGAATTTTTTTTAATGGTGAAATATATGATTATTTAGTCCACGATTTTTCCATGAAGCAATTGGGAACGGGTACGGGTTCAATCGGTGTTAGACCCGACCTTTTCTGGTATCCGACTATTTTGTCGTGGGTAGCAATCCGATTTCGGGTGACCCGATTCAGAATACTCTTCATTCTTCATAATTTACTGTACCTCTATGCAGTATACAGTTGTGCTCTAATTTTTGTATTTAGCCTTGTTTTATTGTAGAAAATAATTTGGATTAAGACAAATTATTCATCTAATATGACGTCGGTTCTTTTTTTAATCAAATATATTACGGTAAATCACCGTAAGGTCGAATTACAAAAATTATCCTTATATTTGGATAATTACTACCATGTTCATCTTTTTGTGTCAAATTCAACATAATCTTCTAGATTATGTGGAATGTTCTCTAGTATGTATTACAATTATCCTTATGTTTGAATAATTACAACCATGTTCACATTTTTGTGTCAAATTCAGCATAATTTTCAAGATTATGTGGAATGTTCTCTAGTTTATACTCGTATTGTGGAAAAATGTAATTTTTTATGCACACGTGATATTTACAAGTCAACTGACACATCTTATGATCATTTTATTCAAAATGTGGAGCTCGAATGAGATAAAATAGATATTGTAGAATATTCCCTGTACGATAGAAGATTCCACTAAATTTGAGACAAAGACATTGATTGAAATTATCCAAACATGAAGGATCTTTTTGTAATTTGACTTTACGTCGGGGATGGCCGCAATTTAAAATAATTTTTAGAAACTTATTTTTCGAATAAAACATGTGGCAATTTGATGGAAATTGGGCTGTTCTTACAATTTTGAGGTGGAAGTGGAACCCATTTGTTATCTAAAACCCATGTCATGGATTCCACGTTAACGATACCGGAAATCACTCTCAAATCCGGCACCGGGAAAATCCCCGTTCTCGGATTCGGAACAGCTTCAGACCACCCGTTCGACTCAGAAACCACCAAAACGGCTATTTTACAAGCAATTGAAATCGGCTACAGGCACTTCGACACGGCGGCGCTGTACAACTCCGAGCAGCCTCTCGGAGAAGCCGTCGCGGAAGCTATCAATCGCGGCCTGATCAAATCGCGCGACGAGTTATTCATCACTTCCAAGCTCTGGTGCAGTGATGCTCACGGCCACCGTGTTCTTCCGGCTCTCAAGAAAACCCTCGAGTAATTTTTTTTTCTTTTTCAGATTTTGATTATGTTATATGGGTTTGCTGAGAAGAAAATTGTGCAGAAATCTCGATATGGTGTACGTTGATTTGTATCTGATACACTGGCCGGTGAGTGCTAGACCTGGAAAAGTTGAGTACCCAATCAAAGCAGAGGATTTTGTCGCCATGGATTTTGAGTCTGTTTGGGCAGCCATGGAAGAATGCCAGATAATTGGCCTCACTAAATCTATTGGAGTTAGCAACTTTTCTTGCACGAAGCTCCAACAAATCCTGGCAATAGCAAAAATCCACCCTGCTGTCAACCAAGTGAGCTCTCGAATTATATATTTATATATGAACATTGATCTAATTGAAAAACGACGGCTTAATAAGAATTGTTTCGTTTGTTGAATTTGGAAGGTGGAGCTAAATCCATGTTGGCAGCAAAAGAAGTTGATAGAATTCTGCAAAGAGAAAGGGATTCTTGTTTTTGCTTATTCTTGTTTAGGTTCGGGTGGGACGAATAGAGTCATGGAATCGCAAGTGCTAAAGCAAATATCCAAGGCCAAGGGGAAAACGGTTGCTCAGGTTTTCCACTACTTCTTTCGTTTTCTTGGATTCAATCAATTTTTTTGAATAATTACATTAAATGTTGGTCGCACGAAGATTTATATTTAATTATTTATCGAAATTGTAGGTGTCGTTGAGATGGGGTTACGATCAAGGGATCGGAATGGTGGTGAAGAGTTTCAACAAAGAGAGGATGAAACAGAACATTGAAATATTTGATTGGTCTTTAAACAGTGAAGAAGTTAATAAGATAAGTGAAATTCCACAAGGCAGAGCATTTCTTGGTGTGGATTACACCTCTGTTTATGGGCCTTACAACACAATTCAACAACTTTGGGACGAACAAATCTGACTTCACGATAATATCACTTTTCGGGTCGATTCGAATTTCAGGTATATTTATTTCACCCGAAGTTCCCGAGGGTTTCCATAAGCTAGAAATATGTACATCGTATATAAGTAAACATCTGAACAAGAGCAAGCATAGCATGTTCTCTTCCATTATATTACACACTTGAGCTACATAAGACCCAAAAAGAAAAGAAAAAGACGTTTTCGAGGAATATTCTTTCGTACACAAATAGTAACAAATGTTGAAGTACTCAACAACGAGCAGGCCTTTCGTATGTGGGAGGTAGAGATGGGCAATTCTCGTTCATATTTGTGTACGGCTCTAAAGTGTTGTAATATGGCAATTCCATTTTATATTCCCCCAGAATCTGACAAAACGGAAGCTTGTCATCGCCATTGTTACACCAATTTGGCAATTGTGTCATATTATTCTCGAATATTTTAAGCATATACGCATCCTTGATCTGCGAAAAGTAAAACAAGTTAGTTTTTTAAGCACAGATTAGATGATAAAAAAATTCAGTCCATGTATTGCGACCAGATCAGAGCATAGCTACTCACCGTAAACTCGGTAACTTGAATGGAATTTGTGACTGGACCGAATACTCCAGCTGCTTTATACATTGCAAGAATAAAGGCAACGCATGTTGTAGACTTGCCATCACTGTACACCCATTCATCTTGTTCGGGAATAGTGAGTAGTTGGTCGAAAGTTATTCCTCGTCTTTCAGTCTCTGCTAGAATTCCATACAAGTCCAGATCCTACCACAAAAGAAAATGTCCAACAATATTTCTTTTTAAGACTTGAATACTTCAAAGCCAAATCGATCGATCAAATGTCAAAGAAGAAATTTGAGTTACCTCAGTTCCGAGCCGCATATTAAGCGCTTCATTCCACATGTTTGCAGCATATGCTGGCTGCATTCTGGTCCACATAGACATGACAGAAATAACCTACAGACAGAATAATAAATAACGATTGTACTCAGATTAACGGGAGAGGATTAAAGTACACAAAATTTTATTTAACAAAAAGTGTGCAAACATACCAAGTGAGCATCTAGAGGAGGTGGATAATTGTCGGCTACAGTGTCGATCCAACTAAAGATCATGTTATGATAACCGTATGGCTTGCCTGCCATCTGGCGAGCATATTCCCATGCTGCAGTAGTGTTAAACCTAGCACGTATTTCTGGATGTAAGGGCAGCAACGCTATTTGTGGATTTGAACTATCCTTAAGTGATAGTTCCCACCATTCATCCCAAGGAATTATTGCAATAATTTCTTCACCCTGTATCAGCATGCAAACATAATTATGCATATGCAGTGACTTTAAACCATCATGATATTATAAAAAAAAGAACCCCTTTTTTTCTGAGGGTTCGATGGCTCAAACTAAACCCCCCTTCTAAAGACAAATTAAAATATAAGATAACATCTCTTGACATGGTAAGCAATAATCAAGATCTGATGTGCTCCCAACGAAAATAAAAGATAACCGATATAAGATATTAAAGAAAGATGTCAACCAATATAGATTAAAATAAAATATAACAAGAATGTAGTCTACATACAAATAATCTATAAATAATGTAAGTGTATGTATAGCCATACCTTTTCATTTTCGTGTCCAGATTCACCAACCCAAAGATTACCCAAATCGTCCTTCAAGCATACAGCAGTATGTCCAGCAAATGCACCGGTGACCCACTTCTCCAGCGTCTCAAATCCACCCCAACGCCCACGAATCTTCGAAACAGCTAAAAAGTCACCAGAATGCACATCTTCTGGATTTATGGTAGCACGCCATGGTTGTTGACGTTTTTCAAACGAAGCACCCATGTGCTTCTTCAGAAAATCTAGATTTCTACTCTGACCCCAAACAGTGTTAGAGAACAAAGGCACCACATCGACCAAGGAAAGAAATGTACCCAGCATTCCAGATGGCATAAGGAAAACCGAGATCCCATGCTGCTTTACCTGCTCAGGATGTAAATATCAACTTCAATACTCGTTAACAATTGTTGTATGTTGACAATTGTAATCGTATTATTAGAAGAAAAAACAATGGTGCTTACATATTCTACTTCGGCAGGTTCCTCCCATGATTCAATTTTCAATGTATGGTCACGAGCTGAAAAATAATAATCCCAAGTGACCCTATAAGGAGTTGCAAATACGTATAAATCCATACATGTCCAACTGTGGGCAGCTGCAGTCTGAAAGAGAAGATATAGAGGCTTTAAAAGGCGGCATGATCAAAATACATTGGCCTTATTATGAAATCAATATTACATGGTACTTTTGTGATGAACAATTATGAAGTTCAAATACCATAAGCACTTAACAATTCAGACAGATAAGGCAGTGCCCAAAAATCCTCTAAAAATCAGATGTGATCTGGTAAAACTTCTGCAATTAACAAATATAGTTCTACCAATATTCTGCAAACTGATCGTGAATGATGCAAAAACAAAGACATCAATCAAACATCTATGAATTGGAATCGTGTCAAAAATATTCAATTGCTTTAATCACATCCACCTTCCACTAACAGCGATAGCAACATAAAAGATAAAGTTATTATTCCATTTGCTTTACAAAGAACAGAGGCACATCTTAATTCGACCATTATAATTGGCTGAACCTCGGGCAAGGACCTCACTTGATCCAAAACTTATTTCAACATATCCAGCAGCAAGAACCAAGATTCAAGAGTCACTACGGGGATTGATAATAAAACTATAAATTCCAGAAAAAAATAAAAATAAATAAAAGAATAAAAGTTGGGCGCAGTTTTAAAACAATATTAAAAAGAGGCCAACATAAATTTTGTTACTGAAGCTTTTCCATTATTCGTCTCTACTTTTCAGTAATTTAATCCGTCCAGAAAATAATAGTCAAGAGAAACTAATATATCACTGCATATTCAGATGCCTTAACTATTCAATCAACCAGTAAAATCAGATCATTAGTAATTTCAGTTACTTACTACCAAATTACATGCGTTCAAATCTAGTTACCACAAAAACACTCCCAATATTAATAAAACCAGAATCCAATTCCCAATCACACGCACAAAAGTATCCACCCAGCTAGCTACACACAGTCAAACACAAACGAAAACACAGCATACAATCTATGAACACACAAAATCCAAAATCACATACCGAAAGATGGATAACGCCGCCCCCGATTCCCCTATCACCGGCACCAACGAACTCAATCTTCGCCTCGTTATCAAAAAAGCACGCGCCTTTCCAGTTAATTGTTCCGTTATTCGGCGACAGCGATCCGATATACTGCGGCAGCAAATCAACCGCACTGTGAATATTGTTCAGCACAGGCCACGATATCTGACGAGGCAACACCGGCAGCACGTCGTTGACCCTGAACGGCACCTTCAACGCATCACCGAAATCAAACCCTAACCCTAACCCCAGAAATAATACGATTTTCAGCAACCACAGCTTTCTCCGAGTAGATAGCATCATCCGCGATGATCGGACGGCACGAATTCAACCCAAATTTGTGGACTGTGGCTTTGATTTCATCAGCTGGAAGAACAAGGAAAGGGTTTGATTTGATGGAGTTCAGGGAAAATTGATAGAAATTAATTTGAGTACAGGTGTCCAATTTGATGGGGGGTGGTGTGGGGGGGTGGGGGGTGGGGGGCGTTGATCGTGAAAGACAAAGACGAAGATTGACTTTTCTTCGGGGGTGAAAAAGATGATGAAAATTTCAAGTTTTTTAAACTACGTCGTTTTGGTTTCCTTAAATATATTAATCACCTAATAATAGTTCCAAGTAGGATAAGGAATGCAATACATTAAAATTTAAATAAGATTAATAAAGCTTTAATAATAATTAAAATCATGTTTAATTAACAAATAAACAAAGTTTTACAAACTGAAAAATCAAAAGCCGAAGAGAAAGCAGTTGGGATAGCAGGGGAGATGCAGAACACTTTCTTCCACTCGAATGGGCTGCCTGAATGGATTTATCTGAATCTGCATAACACGTTTTATTTTTTTTAAATAAAAATAAATCACCAATTTATTATTAATTATTAATAATAAAATAAAATAGAAAAAGACACACTTGAATTGTGGGAGGAGCGCCTGTGACAGAGGTTATACAAGCAGCAGCCAGATGCGAAGCTTCTTCACAGTAATCGGAAAAAACTACCGGAACTTTAATCTCTCTTATTACTTCCTAAATGATTTTTCACACAGGCAACAACGTATATAATTATATATCCATCAGCGTATTTATAAACGTTTAAAGAAAAAAAAAAAAAAAAAACTTACGAGAGTAGGTAACCAGCTTGTGTAGGCAGCTATGCCGGCATTTGGGGCTATGATTATATGAGGAGGAGAATCCTGCAGATCAACCTAAATCTCGTGAGAAACGAGATATAATCTTGAATAAAAATCTGAGATTTTTTTTTACTGATTTACGACAACCTTAATTAATTCTCCGAAACAATCGTGGTAAAAACCTGCGTGAAGCTGTAATGTGATTGCACGCGAATGGCAATTCGTTTTCCTTTCTATGTGACTCTCGAAAGTAGATTTACACTCACAGTCCGGCTCGTTACATTTAGCGTAGGTGTACAGATCAGTCTTTTCACCATCCCTGAGGTACAATACAAATGCAAAATGCTCAACATATACAATCGATTTCTATGGCCGTTTCTATTTCTAGGCATGGATTTGAGTTCTTTTCCTAACAGCTATTATTTTTTAGTGATTTTGAAGACCTACAATTGAGATACAACTTAAAAAAAAAAAAAAAAAAAAGTCGACTGAGAAGCATATGTAATTTAAGGCTAACCTGAGATGCTGAATTGCTGGTCCAATAAGGTCTATGTGCACGTTTACCCCAGGAAAAAGTGCTTGCAGTTCTCCAAAGACTGCCAGCTGAAGTAGTTCTTTTTCCGGTCCTTCAAGAAATTAAGACATGAATAAGGTAAACAGATGACTATTAGAATTAACTGATCTTGAATCTTAAAAATAAAAAAAAAGGAAATGAGAAACAAGAAAAATAAAATAAAGGATTCTTGGCATCAGTACATCAGAAAGTAAACTTCATCATTAGAAAGCAACTATTTCTGTTCAAATTGCACTGACCCTTTCGGACGAAAAAACTTTAGGTGAATTAAGGTCAAAGTTGTTTCCATTCAAATGAAACTGTAAGCAAGTCAAGCTCAAGATTTCCACAATGATGTAAAAGAAGAAAAATTTACCACAGAAACGTAAAGTGACATAGATAAATTTACGGAACTAAACAAGGATCGTGACTAACTAAATTACAGAACTAATATATGTAGAGAGTTGAGCAGAAAAAAAATGGACAGAAATTTGTAGCACTACAAGGACAAGATACCTAGGTAATGTATCCGCAGCTCGTTACTGATTTGAGGAAGCAAGTTTTTAATAGTTGCAAGCTGAATAGCCCAATATACAGTCAGTGGCTGAAACAACAAAAAAAAAATAAAAAAATATTACGGTGTTAAAACACCATAATCGAACACATAAATGAAATGAGTTTTTATTTCTAATGTACACATTACGGAGTAATATAGTATAACCGATACTCATACAAATTCCACTTTCTCTCACACACGAACACAAATAACATACCCAATGAAGAAGTAAAGCAGCAGGACTAGAAAGAGGGATGCACCTCCATTCATAGTAGTCCTTCCAAGTCGACATACATTCGGGTTTCGGATAGGAAGGTCCTGAGTGATGAATACATACAACTCACGCGTGTAAGTATCCGCGCATTGAGCGTAACGAAATCATTTACATAAGCAAAGAATAATTACCTTTACAAGGACATAGATCACTTGGAAGATTCCAACAATTAGTTAACCTACAAAGATATCGCAGCTGCAAATAGTTACTCAGCAAATCGATCAAATTTTTCACCCTAAATCAACACGAGCTCGAAATTTAATTTTCTAAATAATCGAGACCTAAAATAAAATTGGGGAAAAACCTGAAAATACCTTAGATTATCAAAAGTAGATGAGATTCCACAGCTGCATTCACACATCCACATTCCTAGGTGGTGAATTCCATGCCCTGCTAAGAAGGAACACGTTGTCTCCTAAAACAAACACTAATTGTATTTAAAACCTAATAATCAGATGAAAATGATTGATTAAAAAATTAATTAATTGAAATTAAAACAAGTGACTGAACAGTAGCAACCTGAATTTGAGTGGCTGTTTGAGTAAATGTGAAAGGGAAATCATTCAGAACACCAGAGCGCTTCATTTGCTGTTCTAACCTTTCACACTCTCTCTTGTGCGAAGTTCTGTGCGAAACCTTCAAATTGTAGGGCGAAAATGGGAAAAAATTAGATAAGAGCTTCAAAATAAAACCACGGAATATGAGAATTCTCGAAAAGGAAAGAGAAAGAAAGAAAACCTGGTGAGAGAGGGAGCAGTAGGCGACGGCACGGCAGCGGTGGCAGAGTCTGGTGGGAGGGCCGCCGCATGGGGTTCGGCTTCCCTTTCCGGCGCACTCCATTTTTTTTTCCGGTGAAGAAAGATGACCCCTTTTCTTCCGCTTTCGAATAAAGCTACTAACGACTTAGGTATTGGGTAATTACCACTTTGCACCCTCTAAATACACTCATTTAGCACATTGACACCCTTAATTTATAAAAATTGGTAATTTGCACCCTCCAATTTTGATTTGAAGATAAAGTTCTAAAGGAAATAATAAAAGTAAAAAAGCAAAAAGTTCCAATGAAAATCTTTGATGAGTGAAAAAAATTTAAATATTTAATTTATTTCACACCCTAAGTAAATATTGGAATTCTCGGAATTAATTTCGGAAATCAAAAATTCCAAATATTTTTTTTTATATAATTCTAATTTCAATCCAAAATAATCGAAAATTAATCGAAAAATCAAAATTTGAAAAGTAGAAATTAAAATAAAATATTCCAAAATATGAACTTTTCGATGAAAATTTAAAATTCGTTCAGACTTTCACCCCCAAATTTAAAGCGATTAAATTGCCACACATAGTGGGCTTACAAGCGAATATTGGGCTGAGGAACCGTCACTGTTCAAAACCTTAGGACAGCTGGCCCAGCTCTACACCCTTTATTTATTTATTATTTTATTATTTTGGGACCACTGAGGCACCGACTACAGTACCTATTCATTTATTAAGACCAGGACTATTCCCTTCTTAAGAAAATGCTATTTGCGGTCACAAAATTGCTATTCGCGGTTTCTAACAAAAACCCCCAAAACTTTTAAAAATATCATAAAAACCCCCAAAACTGCAAATAGCAAAAAAAAAGAAAAAAAAATTCGAAAATTCGAAATCAAGCTTGAAGAAGGGTTGGGCTTCGATTTTTTGACGTAATTTCGACTCTTTTATGTGTAATATGCATTGGGTAGGTCGATTACGGAACCAATTTCATGTTAAAAAGCCCTACAAATCGATTTGTAGGGCTTTTTTTTTCGCAAAAAAATGGTCGAACGCCCAAGATAGGCGCCCAAGGCGTGTACGAA